CTCAATGGGGTCTGGGAATGGTAATAGAAGTGTAAAGACCCTCCTGTTGTCGCCCTCCAGGTGCTCCACTGCGCCGGTCATGTCCGTGTGTATGACGGCTGCACTGAGGAGACTCCCAACGGGTACAAGGAGCCCCCAGTCCCCTACCTGGTTCTGATCTGCGACCCCATCCAACACCCCTCCAACATCGAGGTCCCTCTGGACACCAAGACATTTCTCAGCCGCCACACAATGGACATGAAGTTCACCTATTGTGACGAGAGGTGCGTTGGTCCTGAGTGAATATTGCAAATCTTAACGTCAATTGATTCAGCTGCTTCAACCACCTGTGTACTTTTTATTGGGTTTTATTGCCAAAGCTCTCACTAACATGGTCACACAGAGCCCCCTAGTGTTCAGTGGAGATACTGCAGAAGCCGAGTGTGAGTGAGTGGAGGAAATAATCTTTTGTTTGCTTGTCCAGGATCACTGAGCTGATGGGTTATGACCCGGACGACCTGTTGAACCGCTCTGTGTATGAGTACTATCACGCTATGGACTCAGACCATCTGACCAAGACTCACCACAACTGTAAGCATGAACAACATGAGTGCATGAATTCAATCTTGCTCTTAAATCCACAACAAATCTGTCATTTTTGCTAAACCTTCAGCCAAATGTCTGAATCTATCTTTACTCATCCTCCCTTTTCTTTGCTTTTAGTGTTTGCAAAGGGCCAGGTAAGCACAGGCCAGTACCGGATGTTGGCTAAAAGAGGCGGCTTTGTGTGGGTGGAAACACAAGCCACTGTCATCTACAACAACAAGAACTCCCAGCCACAGTGCGTCGTCTGCGTCAACTTTGTGCTCAGGTACTATAAAGGTTCTTTGAACAGTATTTCAGAAGAGATTGTAATGAAGTCAAGTTGTTGTGTTTAGTTTTAGGTGAAGTGAAATAGCTGGTTTGTACAAAAAAGACATACATACTACAATTTCTTTCTGTATATTTTCAGAGCCTTTGCACTCAGTGAACCTAATCCTAACATAACTCTGTTACAGTGGCATCCAGGAGGAGAAACTGGTCTTGTCTCTGGAGCAGAAGGAGGATGTGAAGCCAGAGGAGGAGGAGGAGGAGGAGGAGGAGCAGCAGGAGGAAATGAAGGCTGTGGTGGAGATCAGCGAGTTGGACATGTCCCCGGCCCTGAAGGAGTTGGAGGAGAAAGGCCCAGAGCTGGATGTGATCAAACTGTTCACTCAGGCGGCAGAGGCCCAGCCGTTTGTGAGCCTGTACGACCAGCTGAAGGAGGAGCCGGAGGCCCTCACCCTGCTGGCCCCGGCTGCCGGAGACGCCATCATCTCCCTGGACTTCAGCTGCCCTGGTTCGTGGCCTCATTTACACACAAACACACACTAACCCCTCGTCCACACCACAAACATATCACACATATTATTCACTCACACGTCTCACGCAGAAGACACATACGCAGGAATACGCGAGGTTGATGCCAAATTAAACAATACTACTTTTATTTTTTTTCCCTTTTTTGCTGATTATTTATTAATTGTATTAAGTGTGGGGCACTTCATTGGTTCAAAACGCTTCAAGTTTTTTTTCCACTGTAGGTCTGAATGACCATCATATGCATCCGTGTTGATGAAAAAACAGATCAGGACTTCCCACACATATAAAAAAAATAGACGGTCGCTTTAGGCGCTTTCACACCGGAGTACTTTTCCCATTATAGTTCTGATATAGTTCTGAAAATGTGCGTTCACACCAAAAAAATCCGGAACTATAACTTAGTTCATGAGAACCTTTTCACCCCCTTTTTAGTCCCTGCTAGAGAGCAGGTACTTTCCTGGGAGAAAAAGGTTCCCATTTCTGATTGGCTGGGCGGATTGCAAACCACGCCTCAGAAAAGTTTTGTGAAGCTGCCATTGTATTTGCTGGCATTAGCATTATTAGCATTAGCCCAGCGCACCAATGGAGAGAGACTAACTTATGGCAACACAAAAAAAAACATGGGAGCGGTGGAGATGAGGAGGTGTCGGCGTTCTGGCGATTTACTCGGAAGTAGAAGCCAGTCCCCAACTCCGGGGACTTCCGGCCGGGGACTTCGGGTGGCAGTATACGCCGTGAAGTTGTTAGCGGCCTCCCAGTAAACCCAAAGCAGAAGAAGACAAAGTGACGTCAGCGGCTTCATTTGCCTAATCCTCCCTCAGGGACTTATTCCGGTGTGAATGCGATCTGCTCTTTAGTTCATCAGAACTAAAGAGTTCTGACGGCGCCTTATGAGTTAAACTTCTCCCCAGCAGTTAATAAGGGTTTCTACACTGGGTGATCGATTCTAACCTCCCTCTCTCTTCTGATACAGATTCAGAGATCCAGCTGCTGAAGGAGGTCCCTCTCTACAACGATGTAATGCTTCCCTCCACCAGTGACAAGCTGGCTCTGCCTCTGCCGCCATACGAGCCCCTCCATGTCAGCACCATCAGCTCTGAGGCTGCCAAAGCTGAGAGCTTTCCGTCCAGCACCTTCACCAGCCTCAGATCAGCAGAGGTCAGACACTCAATTATTGTCACACACTTTTTCTCCACTTACTGTTACTATGAACAGATTTTAATATAAACAAAAAGAGTACTAGATATAAACTCATTCTGTAAACTTTACATTTTGCAATTGCCATTATATTAACAATTAACATATGATGTTCAAGGCCTTCAATGTGCTTGAATGTTACTGTTTGTAGTTGTATGAACCCTTCACTTAGGAATATGTACTGAGAAGTGAATGACCTTTGACTTCTTTTCTCTTTAGGCTGGCAGTCTCATGGACTTTTGTTTCCCCATGGACTCGGAGATGAAATCAGATTCCAAACTAGACTTGGTGGAGAAGCTGTTTGCCATTGATACAGATCCCAAGAACCTTTTCACCACACAGGTAACAATGCCAGGAGATTTCTTTTAAATGAAACACAGTAAAGGTTTCTGCCTTCTGATTCTATCCTCTTTTTTTCTCCCATGAAGGCGATGGAAGACTTAGATCTGGAGATGTTGGCTCCCTACATCCCCATGGACGATGACTTCCAGCTGCGCAGCCTGACCCCAGAGGAGCCTTTCTCCTGTGGACCTGTCAAATCCCTGCAGAGCTCTCCAATCCACATCACACAGGACATCCACAGCTATCCCTTCTCCCCGGTCAGTGCACCAGGCAGCCGCACAGCGTCCCCAGCACTTCTCAGGGCCCCTCAAACGGCCCCCATTATTGCTATGAGGTAAGTCCCCAAAATGCACAACATGTGTTGCTTTGTAATGCTTTTTTGTGTTTGCTAATAACCATTACTGTGCCGCAGGACCCCACAGCTGGACAAAGAAGTCTCGCTCAGGACCCTGGCAGCCCGGAATGCACAGCGCAAAAGAAAAATGGGTGACATAAAAGAGATGATTGGACAGGTAAGGCCCCAACATTCAAATTGGTTTTTCATAGAACCTACTTTATGTGTACAGATGGAGATTTTGAGTGTCTTTTTTTGATGATTTTCCTAGGGTACTTTGCCTCAGGAACAAGTGGAGCAGGGCAAAAAGCTGAAGGCCTCAGAGTCAGGAACAACCAGGACCATACTCCTGCTGCCTTCAGGTGATTCAACCAGATCGGAGATAAACACTTAAGTCTGTTTTTTTATATACAGACCAAGGGGCAACCTATGGCTTCTAAACAGCATACAGTTTAAGCACTAAACACTAATAGAATCATAACTCTTTAATATCTCGTCCTTCCTCAGACATGGCGAGCCGTCTGCTGGGCTGCACATCGGAGAACACCAGTTCCCTCTTCAGCCTGCCACATCTGACCCGCGACGACTGTGAGGTGAACGCCCCGCTGCAGGGCCGCCAGTGCCTGCTGCAGGGAGAGGAGCTGCTGTGCGCTCTGGACCATGTCATTGTCATCTAACGTAAATTGGAGTCTCTGCCCACTGCTGGACACTACAATTTCTCCCTCATATTGTGTCACCCTAAATGTGTCCCGTCCCCCCCCCCCCCCCCCCCGTATTTATGTATCTGTATGAGTTTGACTATAGTCCGCTGTTCGTGCACCCATGTGATATCTGCAGCATTCCACCGTGACAAACACCATGGCAGCATCTGGGTTTTGGTGCAAGGGGTTCAGGCATCACAAGATGTCCAAATGTCGTTTTTATTGTTTTTGTCTTTCCTCTCTTCCCGGGGAGTCTCTCAGCACACAATGCCTCGACAGATGACCCTTTTTCCAGCAGGTCACCACAGACCCTGGCACTACTGCCAGCAGTGTATTGTAAGCTTCAGTCGCACAATTTATATTTTCTTAAAAATAAAAATATTACCAGCAATATATATTATGCCTTTTTAAAGTCGTTTTAATGGGATTTGAACCATTTTATTTTTCCTCCCATACTTGTATGTTGTAGTACTCGTACTTAACAAGATGTCTTTAGTCCAGAAAGTATGAACATATTTTTTAAACCGTAGGTGGTTTGAATGTTATCTCCATTTAATAGCTATCAGTTTTTTAGGTAATGCATTTAATTGTGTAGCAGTCCAGTACATGTCACTTTATTACTTTACTGTAAGTGTGTTACTGTACATTTACCAGGGAAAATTGTATTTACTCAGTTGGGCTTCACAGCTTCTTAGTCTCAAGGTGAAATCTGAGTGTAAGCGCCTCACTTAGGTTTTTAGTTGCTTCTCATCATGGAGAATTGAATTCATGTTTTTAGTTTTTACTGTGCGTGACATACTCAAACCAGTATGTTAAAATAAGTGGGATATTCATATTTGACTTGTGTGATCACTATCATGTTAGCAATTGTGAGTTGTCAAACTTGTTGGCTCAGTTTAATACCATTGATCCATGCCATATTATTGGGTCGCTCATGCTTCTTGTTGCCGTCGAATATTAAATGGCTTTAATAAAGTATATTGTTTCAGATTTCCTTTTTTCACAAACACTGTATTTTGGGCTCTGAAAACAATTCATTACATGACTAGTTTAGGCACATTTTCTAGCGGTAGAAAACATATTTATTGTACTCTGGGAAACCGGTGAATAAATACTAGACTGGCCATTAAAGTCTTTAGGTGCTGGCAGGTTACGACGATTCAAACTGTTTGATTCTAGAAATGACATCAAATAATTATTTAGTAAACAGCCTTGCAGAGAAAGACCGTTTCAGGCAATACATACTTTCATTTGAGGTATCAACAAAATATTTAACAAAAGTCCTCAAATACTAGAACTCAAAATCAAACATTACAACATGTATTAATCATGTGACCCTCTGAAAGCATCACTCTGTGAACTCTGGAGTAATTTGCAGTCGAAGCAACTTCTGTCCTCTCTGCACCACCATGGTGATTTCGTCGCTGTAGCGGACAGCCTTGTAGATCTCCTCTGAGGTGTTCACCTTCACTCCATTAATCTCTAACACCACGTCTCCTGGTAGCATGCCAGCTCTGAAACAAGGGCCACAGTATTATGGGTTGGCAGCAACATATACATGCTAAATTCATTGCCTACTATAGAAAACATTACAAAGCTCCACCTCCAACCAGGGGTAATGAGCATATGTATAAATCAAAATTCGATTTCTTCTCGGAAATGCTCAAGGTTTTTTTTATAATTCCATGACTTTTTCAGGTGTGGAATATACTTTTCTAGGTTTTCCACACTCACGCTAGAGCAAGAATGGTACGTCATCTACATCCACAGTCTGCTTACCTGTCGGACGGGGAGCCCATGATTACTCTGTGAATCAAGATGCCGTGTGTCACGTCAGGGAAGGATGGGTCTCTCAACTTCAAGTCTGCGATGATGCTGGAACAAATGGAAAAACAGAAACATTTCAGTTTGGACCCAGCTGTGCTGTAACTCCTCTCTCCTAGGTTTTTCTGCAGCCCTTCCTGCTTGTTAAGCGTTTACCTCGGCGTCAGGGTCAGCATCATCACACCAATGTACCGCCGCTTCGTCTCTGACTCGCCAGACCAAGTATCTGTAAGAGGATGCACAAAAACAGGAAGTGTAAAACCTTTTTTTGCTTTCTAAAGAGGAAACAGTTGAATGCTCCAGAGAACACTTTGGACAGAAAGAGGGTTTTGAGATTCTGATTCTTACTCTTCTTTTTTGATGCTTGATCCAGAAAGAGTTGCAGGCGATCAGATGGAATAGCAAAGGAGATTCCGGCTGTGACCTTCATCGTGTTTATACCAATGACTTCACCATCCTAATTACAGCAGAGATAACATTCAGATAGCATGTTATGGCTATCAAAGTCCAGTTAGGTTAAGAAACGTGTGCAGTGTCATTGAAAGGGATGTTTTTTCAAGTTGGTAGGAAGCAACTTGTATTAATTAAAACTATTCAAAACGTTGTAAAGGTTATACTAATTACACATCATCCCCACACTAAGTGAACATATCCTGTAACAATAAAAAGGTACCCTAATGCAACGGCAGGTGAAATAAAGAGGGTTCTTTCATGTAGCATTAACAACTGTCACACTACTTTTAAATCACTAAAAGTAAAATCTAAAGCCACAAACAGAACAGGTTTGGTGACGTTTTAATGTGATGATGAACATTTAAACTGAATCTGACTCACCAAGTTAATCAGGGGACCTCCAGAATTTCCAAACTGCAGAACAGAAAATCAAAGCATGACATTAATACAGTGGTTCTCAAAGTGGGGGGCGCGAGAGACCAGGAGGAAATGGTTATTAAAAAAATAAATAATATGATACAGTACTATTACGTCTGGGTCTCTGTGTTTCATTAAAGCTCGGCTCTGTGTGTGTGTGGAACGAGCCATTTTGTGTGCATGCGCGAGTGAGAGCGAGAGAGCGCACCGGTACCGGAGATCGTTGTTGTTAGCTTCTGGTGCTAGCGAGCTACGCTAACGGATATAAGGAGTTTTTTCAACCACAAAGTGGAGGAGAGTCCTCTCCTGTCAGACTGAGAGACTCAGTGAGCTAAAGGACTCTCTGAGTGTTATCTCAGTGAGTCTCAAACGTTTTGGTCACCATTAATGTAAACAATTATTTCCGAGGCACACGTTTATATGATCATTATAGTTATAAAAAAATAAGAGAATAAATGAAAAACAGGTATGAAATATGATGATATGACAGTAAAAAAAGAATAAAGTTTAAAAGGGTGATTTGTAAAATATCCATAAAGAAAAAGTAAATCTGTTTACAGTTCTGCTTCATATGGGTGTTGAGAGATGTATCCATAGATCTCTTCATTTTGCTCTCAAAGTGCACCAGATTGATGCTTTTAACTTCAATATTTAAAAATAAATCTTCCCGGGGGAGCTTGCCCCCGGACCCCCCGATGTGAGGTCCACACACCACCTATAAAAATAGTACTTTACCCCTGCTTACACCTATATGCCGTGAGCTGATTATCGAGCCTTCATTGTAACAGTCGCGGGTACACTGTGTATATGCGTGGGGATTGTTGCAGTAGAAAATTCCACTGTAGCGACCGGTGCATTAATGGGAAACCCTACATGTTTGAGCACCCTCTTTGAAACGTCAAGCTACCCCACAACACCCGCAAAATAAATCTCTGGCGCCTGACTATTTGTGTTGGGGGGGCCCGACTTTTTTTTTTCTCCAAAGGGGGGGCCTGACAGAAAAAGTTTGAGAACCACTGCGTAAATATGAGACATTTCGGAGTCACAGAACTTCCTCTTAACAAGCGTGGGTTTTTCCTGACCCCATTGTTCATAACATTTATGTGTCAGGGTAACATACAGTCAAAGCAATATGTTTTTGTGTACATTTATATCCTTTTAGTATAATGACAGCAGGAAACTCACATCAATAGCTGCATCAGTCTGGATGTAGTCTATGTTGGAGTTGGACAGGCCCAGCTCCTTGCTGCCTCTCTGTACTGAGCTGATGATTCCTGACGTGATTGTATTCCTTAAAGCAAACGGGCTCCCCATGGCAACCACAAACTCTCCTTGTCGAATGTCAGATGACCGACCGAGGCTGAGCGTTGGTAAAGGATTCTGCATGTAGGGTAGGCGGAGAGATAGCGATTAATAAACACATCCACACTGCTTGTAGGTCAGTCGTACATCAAGGGGATAAAGCTTACTATTTCATCAATTGGCCCGATGTTTCTTATTAAAAAGCTCCTATCATGCAAGTGTCCTGCCTTATTATAAATATAACAGTAATGCTTTTGAAAGGGTAAAAACATAGTATTGCTATAGTGGTTTTTAAGTAGAGCTTGTAATTCTCAGGCAAAGATGCAGTCTCTCTTCAGAGTTGGTACAGCAGGTTTAATTGAGACGATTTAACTGAAGACAAAGAAAATGCAATGACCTGACGTATCTTATGATCTTAACCATTAGACAGGCTGAAAGTGTGTCAAAATATGATCAAAATCATGTTAATACCAAGTGCAATTGCTGAATTTTTGTTGTCGTTTTCTTGTGTTCTTTCTCTTAACTGTTATTACTTCTAAATGATCAGAGGCCTGTACTACGAAGCCGGATTTTCCTAACCTGGATATGTTTGAGTTAGCCGGTTGGCCCAATCCAAAACATACGCGCTCTGGCTAAACTGTACTACGACGCTGGATATCAAGTGGATCGCTCAAGCCAGCCGTGTCCTATCTAGTTAGGTGCGCGTTCACATGAAAGGGGTGGTATTTGGAGCATTCGACCAATCTCAAACATGGACAAGCGTACTGACAGCGCAGCGTCATACTTCCTGAGTGAAAAGTGAACTTTAATAGGCTATTAGTCAAATATGAAGAAGTTAAACTTTAAACATCCATGACTTAAACACTTTATCCAGGATAAAAGCCACATAGCTGCACCTGCAAGGTGAATACAGCTGGTAAAAGAAAAAGCGTTTGAATGCGTACATTAACAGGTTTATGATATCACTGCCCCGTCCAAGACACGAGTGGATCTGACTTTAATTACATTTGACTCAAGTGTTTCGTCAACTTAATGTGTTGCTTAAAATAATACTTCTGCATACAGTATGTGACACTGTGAGTGTTGCACGGCCAGATACGGCTCAAGAAGCTGACTCAGATAAGGAAATATATGATACATTATGATGTGATATGATATGAATGATAATGGGACACATCTACGTCTGCACTCACAGTGCCGCGGGCTGTACTTAATGTTACTTTGATCCTGTTACTTATGTTGTGGCAGATATTCAAGTAAGCTTTCTTAACGCTAATGTTATAATAGTCAGATTGCTCTGAAGATGAGGGGATATTCTATTAATTTTCACGTTCACACAGTCAGTTGATTTTTGCCGGCTGTCTTTCCTGCAACGGCAGTTTTTCTGTATTTCCTCTATCCTGTAATATGACTTGATAGCTTTAAACTCCGCACACGGAGCTCTGATTGGTCAGCAGGCGGTGCTTTCACTGAGTTGATCTCTTAGCCTGCAACCTAACCTCCTCCCGAGGAGGTTAGCCGCTCAGCATAAGTTACCATGGAGATCTAGCCCGCTAAAAAGAGAACCAGCGTCGTAGGACCGGAAAGCCCGAGTTTTCCCTGAAGTCAGCCGGCTAAGCGAAAATCCGGCTTCGTAGTACAGGCCTCTGATCCCGTCTGTTACAGTGATGTGAGCACTTCCAGTGAGGTAAACAAATAAACAATATAAAGTTCTTTAAGCAGTTGTTTACCCTTGCAGTGATTTTAATGGTGGCAATATCTGCTGCTTGATCAACATCTTGCACAGTGGCATTGTACGTGTCCCCGTTGGTGAGCTTCACACGGACGCCTCTCTTGTTGGCCACAACATGAGCATTGGTGACGATGAGACCGTCACTGCTGATGATGAAACCAGAACCATTTGACACAGGGACTTCTCTTCCTGAAAATGGGTGTCTGTAAAACAGTAACATTCGTTTATTTATTCAGCCTGGAAAGGAAATTCATTAATAAGTTAATCTGCAGAGAGAGGAATACAAAACATTATTTTAGCAATTAAGAAACATGCAGCTTCTTCAAGATGTTGGTGAACAGGACCTACCTTAAAGGTATTTATCAAGTCCTTTGATAATGTGCTAAAATATTCTAAAAGTATGTTATTGTTTAATAATTCTCATCAATACCCATGTTGTTTTACCTTCCATTATTGTATTGTTGCAGCTTATTATAATTGTGTTTTTTCTTTTAACATGGTTGAACAACATACACCACGAAGGAAAACAGTCTTTAACTCAACTCACCTGCCCACAATTTCAATGTACACTACAGCTGGATTAGACTTTTCCACCACATCTGCAATAAAGTTGTATTTATACCGGGGGGTGTCGGGTTTAAAGGGAGAGGCACAGTGAGCTGATGGCAGGATGAGTCCAAGAAGCCGCCCGGATAAAGACACTCTTCCGTCCTCTACTTGTTCATCTGTTCGACTGTCCAGAAGAGCCACAGCGCAGAGTCCCAGCCCCACAGAGAGTGACTGCAGCAGGGGAGAGCTGCTGCTGTCCTGACCGCTTCTCCTGTCCCGCTCCACACCGGGTCTCCTGTCAAGGTCCCCCTCTCTGCGGTTACATGTCACCACAGAGGACACCCGGCTCACTGTCCTCTCGGCCAAAGAGTTTAATCCCCGGCTTTGACACCGAGTGTGTCTCCTTAGTGCGGAGAAGAGACACCTACTGAGAGGAATTGCTGCCATGTTGCATCACTTGAGTCACACCTCAGGAGTTTTCAAACAGCGAAACAACACTGTATATCCAAATATATTCAAAGTAATAACAGTCCGCTTTGTTTAAATTGTTAAAGTTGCACTGCTTGTATAAATTAAAACAATACAGGACATATTCTTCCTGTGAAGTCCACTGTTCTACTGGCGAGCCAACTGACTGACAAAAAGCAGCGACAGCTGAGAAATAAACAAGCTCACCCGGAAGTGTGACTTGACCCGGAAATCGAAAAGTAAAAAAACAAAGAAAAAATGTTAATGAACAACAATCAATCTTAAACATAAAAAAGGGTAGCCTACATTGCATAATTAGTTACATTGATCAATGGAGAAGATAGATACATTGAACCAAGTCATATACAATAAAATAAAATAACACCAATGACATAGCCTACTACTATGACTTTTTTCATATTTTTCGACATATTATACTATTACATTTTTCATATTTGTTGACGTTGTAAGCTATGACTTTTTTTCAACATACTATACTAAGACTTTGTTTTTCAAATACTATGACTAATTTTCAAATTTCATGAAATAGTATGCTATTACTTTTTTTAATATTTTCCCACACATTAAAATATGACTTTTTTTTCAGCAGAGACGGTACAGCATCTTTGGTTTGGGAAGGTACATTAAAAAGATCTCTTATTGTGAAAGGGTGGTCATGTACGGAAGTGACGTCTTGTTTTGGCAGTACGTCACAGGTTTCTAACCAAACGCGGCGGAGTTGAGATATTTGAAATTTGCGGCTAGCAAGCTAGCTGCTAGCATACGGCTTGGATGATTGTTTTTTTCCCTTCATCAAACCATGGCGTCGTATCAGCATATATCAAAACACACAAATCCGCAGTTTGAATCTCCTGCCAGGGTGTTTGCTAAGCTAAAGTCTAAAGTGAGAGAAGAGAATCCGTCCGCGAATCAGTGGACTTTTCCAGGCAAGGAGCCGCTGTCTGGCATACGGGAGAAACACGGGGGAGTTTTTAAGTCGCCCAGGAAGAGATCAGAGAGCACTTGGATGACCGAACAATTTAAAGAGAATAAGAGGTCTAGTTCTTATCGTGATGAAGCGGAGGCATTAACTCTCTCTCCCATATCGAGTCCTCAGAAAGGTTTCGGTTACTGGTTTTCGGACATCAACAGCGAGCGTGTAGAGGAAGTGCCTCTTGGAGGACATGGGTGCACACCGAGAAAGAGAGCTTTCCTGGAGTCAACAGCTCTGTCGATCAGACCACCGATCCACACTGAACCAGCTCAGATCAGAGACTCGGCTGGTTTCCATGGGTTCAGTCGGACTTCAGTAAAAAGACAACCATTGGAACATGACTTTGTAAACAGTGTGTTTGGTGAGGGCTATCCTCCTGTTGACAAACGGATGCCTCCACCCTTTATGTTGTCACCCACGATAAATAGATTGAGGAAGAGAACATGGGAGCCGCAGGAGTTTGACAAAGTCAGTAGCTGTAGAAAGGTTAGCAATGAAAGCCATCCACAACCAGGTGAGGATGTTGGTAATGTTAGAGGATTCTCTGCTGACCAATCAGAGATGGACCAGTTCACTCATGAACCTGTGGTATCCGACCCACAAAGTTTAATAGCAATGAAACGTGAGACATTATTTTTTTGTTTTGTTCCAAGTCAAACTCTTCCCTACTAATCAACGGAAATGAGTGTAATGTTCTCTCTTTGTTGCTTGGAACAGGGTGCTTTGTTGCTGTGAAAAGATATCCTCCAATGTCTCCAGCCAAGATGTTCGCTACCATGAAGAAGAGGGAATCTAAAATAGAGCAGCAAGTTAATAAAGTCAGCAATTGCACCAGGGATCTCTTTTTTCAGGGTGTGTTATATTAATACTTAAATCCTACAATGCATAATGTTTTAGCCATCATGTATAGACATAGTTGATTTTTAGATTTGTTCGGTGTCTTGTTTTGACTAGTTTTCTTCTCCATAGATAATTTCCATCTGTCCAGAGACAGGCCTCTCTTTAAAGCTCACAACATGAGTGAGATGGAGGACAATGTTCTCAGAGATTTTCCTGAAAATGTGGTTCCTGTCAACCGGCCCAGAGAAGCGTCAGCTGACAGCCAATCAGAAACCGATCCCTCCGAGAACGTCCCCAACCCTGTTCTGTCGCCACAACCTTTTCTGCATGAAGACCCCCTTGTGCTCAATTCACCACGGGTCTCAATACCGAAGAAAGAAGCCGTGTTCAAGCGAAATAATTGGAGGCAGTGCATCAAATTCCCATGTGTAAGTAGAAGTATTTTAAATTAATATACAGTATATTGTAATACTTTGATTGATGAAAGGGGTGACATTTGTGAAAATAAAAGAATCTTCTGGCAAACTTCATAAACCAAGGTTAAAATGGGCAGGCACATTTTAAGACAAATTCTATTAATTTAAAGTTTATTTCTTCTTGGTAATTTAGTTTTTTAAATTTCTAATAAAGCTTGTGTTTTCTTCTTTGACAGGAGAGTGTGATTCATCTTAAAAAGTGGTTCCTGAAGAGAGATCGCAACGGTCTGTTTCTTGGTGGAACCCACAGGTAAATGTTGTTTAGTTTTAACACAAGTAAAACTAAACAATACAAGTTAATTAGAACACATTTTGTATAATTCTTACTAGCTACTGTCCTTTGAGACAGCTGTGTTCATGCTTTATATTTTGAATACATTTGTTGTGGTTTAATATAAACACTAGATTTGTTTTTACTTATGTTTTCCACCCAGGGACGCCAACGTGCCCTGGAACAGTAGCATCCTTGTGGAGCGTGTTTCTAACACGGTGGTGAAGTCGGCCTCCGGCAGCGTTTACATCCTGATAGGCAAAATGTGCAGGAGCGTTGACACTGGTAAGACAGATTCTGTTCAGGTAGATATTTTTTTAATAATATGCACATAACCGTGCAGGGCTCAACGCTAACTTTTAAAAGTGGTTGCCAGGCTGGCAACCAGGCATCAGCTTTTGGTTGCCAAAACTGAAATATGGTTGCCATTTTTAGTCACCTTATATTTTAAATAATTAAGATACTATACAGTTATACATCAACGTAATAAGGAACATGTGACACAAAAGAATGTTCAAATGCTTTACAATAAGTAATTAACACAATTATTTGAAACTTAAGTGGTAGTAAACTTGTCCACCCTCAATTGCTGGTATACAAAATACCAGTAGTGCAGCTGTTGTCATGTTCTTCACACATCCCTCACAAATGAATTGAGCAAGTCACTAGTTTCTTGGTCATCCGTTGTCTCCCTTTCAAATGTGGGTTTTCTTGACCTTTGTGCTGATCCCCACCATAGATCCATTGGCCCTTCAGGATTGAAGTCTTGGATTGGCCAGACTAATACATTTCTAATGTTAAATAAATGAAAACCATTCACAGTTAATAATTAGATATGAATTATTAATGCTGTAAATTACCTTTTAATATGTCTAACTATATTTAAAATGTGTTACCTTTTTATAGAAGTGATTATATTTATATGCCAATATGTTCCTATGGTAAAGTTTCGTTTTGCACTTTTATTTTGGTAGTAATAAGATCGGGACTCTTATTTTGAAGGAACTTTTACCGGAAGTGAATGGACAATGGAGCAGAATAGAGTGGCGAAGTCCCTCCCCTTCCGGTTGAGCCCCATGGGACCTTATTTCGGAAAAGTTATGCATTAAAGTCAATGGAGAGAGAAAGATTATCTTTCGATCCCGTTTGAATTGTGCCACGAATTACACATATGATGTTTGTCAATTTAAAAGATAATTTTGCAAGTCAAAAAAAAAAAAATGTGCCGTAAAACTGTGAAGTAACACATTTGTTTGTGTGAAACGCTAAATGAACTACATCTCTGGTCAACCACACACGTCACCAAGATGGCCGTCACTACTGTCTTGTCAACAAACGATTGACTATCACCACAATGAAACGCGTCCTGAAGAATGTCATGCAAAGCTGCCTGCCTGCCTTCCTTTGATTCTCTCTGAACTGCCTGGTCGTTTTAATGTTTAATGTCAACCATTTGTGCAGATAGCATGAAGTAGAAAAGATCGCCGATGCTAACGTTAGCGTTAGCATTTCTCCCCCGGAATTAAATGGTGTATTATAGAATGATCACACCGGTGACAGTACTATTCAAAGGGTTCACGAAATATGACTACTACTCTTACTGTTTAACATTTTGGGTTACTTAATGTTACTTCATGTTAAGGCTAATAAAAATGACAAGGCTGTAATGCTAACTAACGTGCTAGCTACTAGCTAGGTAGCTAACTTGATCAAGCCACTCCTGGTCGTTTCATCAGACGGGAAGCAAAAGAACGAGCAAGACCCATTGCTGGTATAATAACAGCCTGGTACTAAGCACACAGGCATCTTGTTAAAGTTATCTTATCTTAGCCAGCGCCATATAGATAGATTATATCTATATTGCGCTGATCTTAGGTATCTGAATGGTGGAGGTAAACAATTGTGACATCACTTACGCGACTCTGGGATTTGTAGTCTTTCTAGTTACGTATTTTTCATAGTCTTATATTTCAACAGTTTTACGACAAACTGTGACTTTTTTGACATGGAAATGATTTTTTAAGTTTGACAAACATCATATGTGTAATTCATGGCACAATTCAAACGGGATCGAAAGATAAGTTTTCTCTCCCCATTGACTTCAATGCATAATTTTTCCGAAATAAGGTCCCATACCCCGGAAGTAAGTGGGAGGGACTTCGCCACTCTATAGAGTGGCGAAGTCCCTCCGCTTCCGGTGGACCTCCATGGGACCTTATTTCGGAAAAATTATGTATTGAAGTCAATGGAGAGAGAAAGATTATCTTTCGATCCCGTTTGAATTGTGCCACGAATTACACATATGATGTTTGTCAATTTAAAAGATAATTTTGCAAGTCAAAAAAAAAAAATATGTCGTAAAACTGTGAAGTAACACATTTGTTTGTGTGAAACGCTCAATGAACTACATCTCTGGTCAACAACACACGTCACCAAGATGGCCGTCACTACTGTCTTGTCAACAAAACGATTGACTATCCTCACTATCACCACAATGAAACACGTCCTGAAGAATGTCATGCAAAGCTGCCTGCCTGCCTTCCTTTGATTCTCTCTGAATTGCCTGGTCGTTTTAATGTTTAATGTCAACCATTTGTGCAGATAGCATGAAGTAGAGAAGATC